GGCTCTCTCGGGCCGTGCTGGGTCCCTGCTCCTGGCTTTTTCCCCTCCCTGCTCCTGCTCCCTGCTCCCTGCTCCGTCCTCCCTTTTCTGCTCCTCCCGCTTCCCTCCTTCCCCTCCCCTCTCTTCCCTCTCCCTCCTCTTCTACCTCTTCTCCCTCTCCCTCCTCTTCTCCCTCTTCTCCCTCTTCTCCCCCTTCTCCCTCTTCTCCCTCCTCCTTCTCCCCTCCTCCTCCCCTCCTGCTCCCAGCACGAATGGCAGACACCGGGGAGGATGCGCGCTCCGGAACTGAACAGAGGAACTCCTGGGGGCACCGGGATTCGTGGGCAAATACTTCTCTGCGGAGAATGCGTTCGCAGGAAGGCCCTCAGCCTCGTGTGCTGCCAGCTCAGAGCAGCTCTGCCAAGGAGCCGCGACCCTCCCCGAGCAGCAGCGCTGCCACACCGAGAGGACAAGCAGTTGTGCAGGCCTGTTCTTGCTGAGATGTGCCGCTGAGATGCTGCAGCAGCTGCAGCGCACGCGGCCACGGGTAGAACGAGGAAGCCGGCCTGGTGGCGGGAAGCATGATATAGTCCAAGTTGTGTCCGATCCTCAGCCTGGCCGCCCAGCGGGCTTGGTCCACGTCTCCTCTGGCAGGCGTGCCCAGCAGTGCTTCTCTTGCCGCCCACCAGCAGGGAGAGCCCCGCCTCTGCCGATTCCGGTGGGGCGCGTCAGCAGCAAGCTCCCCGGGGGGGGGGGGTTGCGCGCTGCACGCGGCTCCGCCCCTGCAGGCCGAGCTGGACACGTGGCAGATGCTGCAGGTCCAAGGCGGGCCCCGTGCCACGGTCGAGAGAGGCAGGGGGCCACGTGCGAACCCTACCCCTACCCCCCACGACTTCTGAGGGGGAGGGGTAGGGCTCGCGTGTGGCCCCCTAAGAGGGGGAGAGAGAGATCCAGAGGCGGTCAGGGCGCTGAAGTCGGGACCGCGCTCGGCTCCGGAGGGGCTCGGGTCCTCGGGCCGCTCCCAGGCCGCTCCCCGGCTCGGCGCCGCGGAGCCCGCTCTCGTGGCCACGGGCCCGCCGTGGCCAGAGAGAGAGAGAGAGCGCGCCCTTCGTTCTCTCTCTCTCTCTCTCTCTCTCGCTCTCTCTCTTTTTTTTCTCGTCGCTCCCCCGTGGCAGCTCGAGGACGGTCGCCCCATCCTCACCCGCTCGAGCTCTCTCTCGCTCGCCTGCGTCGGGGGTGGGCAGAACCCCCAACAGTGACACGTCGATTAGTGAATTGTCCGTTTTCGGTTCTCGAGAGGGCGCCGCGGTCGTTATTTTCCAGGCTTGCGCCCGCCAGGTTTGGGCCTCAGGTCGTTTTCTCTAAACCACGTTATACTACAGGGGGGTCTGTCCATGCCCGACTGCGCTCTCGGCACCCACGTCCTGCTCCTCTGTCCACTCTGTATCCCGCCGACGCTCCCGCTCTGCGAGCGCGGGCGGGCGGGCCGGGGCGGTTGTGCTCCCGAGCAATCTGAGGAGGGAAGAACGCACACACACACACACACGGACACAGCTAGTCGTCGACTCCCCAGAAAGCATGGGAACACGTGGGAAGTGGGGGGAAGACAAAAACCCAGAAAGTATGGGGGGTCCTGCAATCTGTGTGTGCTCATTTATGTGTCCCAGGGCCCCTTCATCATAGTGAATTTCTTCACCTATACATGATGATACACTTACCTTGCCATCCAGCCCCACGCGTCCCAATCCACGGAAGTCAATCCCTGGGCTCCGCACTCTTTACGACGTGATCTGGTGCTGCAGCCAAAGCCGCATCCGAACGGAGCAAGTTTAATGCTTTTTTTTCATCTGTTCTTGTTCCCAGCGTTCATCCTGTTCATGGTATTACATGACTCGGTGCGCAACCCGATTCGGCCCTGGCATTTCCATACGCAGATAAAGAAATTCAGTAGACGTGTTATGATCTGCCGCGCAGGGCCTTCTGAAAGGATGGAATGCGTGCCACGCCCTGACTCACGTTCCCAACTCATTGAACACATGTTAAAAATCTATGTTTGCTCATGTCTTTGACGTCGACAGTCTGCGGTTCGACAACAGATGTGAGGTGAGGATATCTGCGCGCGCACTTGCTAAAATCATAGGCTGCGGTTTCGCGCGTCGCTGTTATCGATCTCTTGGATGAACTCGTCAACGGCGAGGGGCTCGCCAGAAACGTTCATCTGCTTGCGCGGCCCTGAGCGTGGACCAGCCACAGCACTTGGCGCGCGCCTTAGCGTGCACTTCTTTAGCGGCCTCTGGCGAAGTGGCGTGAATCAGTCCTTTTTATGTTCGGGTGGGTGGATGAGAATGATTGCGCTCCGCGACCGACTGGAACACTCATGCCCTATGAGACTGGTGCTCTTCCCCCATGCCGTCCCGGAGCCCATCTGGCCCCTGCATTTTCCGCTGTGCCTCCTTCTGCTTTCCATGCCGCAGTGCCATTCAGGCAACGTGCGCGCGCGAGTCAGAGTCATTAGTAAAACAGTTCATTAAGTGCTTCTCCTGTCTGAAGCGTGGGAAGTTCTACGTTTTGAGCCACAGCTTTCCGGAACTTCCGCTCCGCCCGGGAGCGGCTCGTCCAGGCTGTGGGTTCGGAAGTGGCTGTCGTCCGGCTCTTGGGTGAATGCTTCGTTAATGGCGAGGGACGTGTTGAATGCGGAGACAGCTAAGTCACATCGTCAATCCGTTCCCATCTTCAGTTTATTTCCTGGCCTCTCGCGTGAAGAAGGAGCATTACGAGGTGCAGGTTTCTCACGTAAGAAATTAACCAGCGTGGACCCCAACAGTGCGTTCTAGCATGCCAGGTGATGCAATAGATGCGTTGCAAGCTATATGGTGCAAGTTATGTGGCGGAAGCTATGTCTGCGGTGCAATCTGCGTGAAGAAAGCTCTGTGGTGTAAGCTTGGCGGTGCATGCAATGTGGTGCAATTTAAATGGCGTGAGCTGTGTGGTGTAAGGTATGTGGCGCACTCCATGTTGTATAATGTAACGCACCCGTCTTGCGGTGTGAGCTCACTGGCGGCGACGGGGGCCACATGGTGGCCAGGCAGAACGGCCTGAACACAAGAACGAACAGCAAAAACAATCCGACAAGCCGCAATGATAGCAACATTGAGCAGCTTGAAGGGGTGCGAAGAAAGAGAGAAGAGATTGAGAAAGGAAATGACGGAGCAGTGCATGCTCATGCTCCTAGATGCAGGCGTTAGGACGACACGTCCGACCTGAGGGGTGCCCTCCCTTGTCTCGGCGGCGAGCGAGGGGGGAAATGAGAAGAAGGAGGCCTTCTCAGAAGGCGGCGGGCCTTCTCAGAAGCCCGCGCGCCTTCTGCGAAGTTCTGTCTGTCTTCGGGGAAGGCTCAGAAACTGCTCAGAAGGCCGGGGGACTTCCGAGCCTCCCGAGCAGGCCTTCTCCTTCTCGCTCCCCCCTGTGCTCGCCGCCAATTGCCGGGTCCACGGGCGAGGTCTTCGCCGAGCGCTCCCCGGGGGCGGCCCGCGAGGCCGGCCGCCCCCACGCCGTCCCCCTTGCGGCGGTCGCCGCCCGCCCCCCCTCGCCGCCCGCCGGGGCGCGCCCCGTGCGGCCCCCCCCCCTCCCGCGCGACTGCGGGGACCCCTGGTGCCGGGACGCCGAGGGGCACGTGCCGCCGCTCCCCCGCGGCCCGCCCTGCGGGTGCGCCCGCGCGCTCCGCCCACGCCTTCGCGCCCCGCCGCGGGCGCTGCCGCCCCCGCGCCGCCCCCCTCGCGGCGGTCGCCGCCGCCCCCCCCCCGCGCCGCCCGCCGGGGCGCACCCCTGGGGGCCCCTGGTGCCGGGGCGCCGATCGCCGCCCGCCCCCGCTCCTCCGCCGCTCGCCTGGCCTCCCGTGGTTCTGAGCGGGGCCCCCGGGGAAGGGGACTCTTTTGGGGCGGGGGAGGCGGGCATCTCAAGCCCTCCGCTCGGCTCCGAGCGCGGGGTCGGCCGCGCGGCGCCGTCCCTCGCCCCCCTCGGAGTCGCAGAGTGCCGTGGCCGCGGCCTCAGAGGCCCCCCCCTCGCTGGCGTCCCCCTCTGGGAAGCGCCTCGCCGCCTCGGGTGTTCGCCCCGCGCGCTGCGCCCCACGCCTTAAGCGCCGCGGCCGCGGGCGCTGCCGCCCCCGCCAGAGGCCGCGCGCGCGGGCGCCCGGGCGCTGCCGCCGCCCAGGGGCGGCACGCCGGGGGGCAGGCGGCGGGGGCCGGTGGCTCGCTGACCGCGTGAGGGACCTCCGCGCGCGAGGGGCTCCCAAGTCGTCGTCGTCGTCGTCGTCGTCGTCGTCGTCGTCGTCGTCGTCGTCGTCACCGGGGCATGGCGCGAGTGGGTGCCACCTTCACAGTCCACGCCTGCTGGGTCCCGTGGCAGCCACAGGGGCCCCAGATTTTGCACACCGCTGAGCAGCTCACGAGCTTCCTGGATACCATCCCTATAGCTCTTGGACCCCGATGCCGAAGGTCCGAGGCGGGGATTTATCCATAACCACCGCCTGGGGGATCGATCTTCGCGGACGTCCACAGGCGGTGGATGTGGACACGTTCGGGCCTCTGGGGTCCAAAATGTATCCACATCCATCGCCCGCTGGGGCGCCAGGACGTCGGCCCCCAGGCGGTGGATAGGGATACACCCCCGCCTCGCAGAAGGGAGCTCCTCCGCAGGAGGCGCTAGGCCCCCACCCCCCCGAGCGGTTCGCCTCCCGGGAGCTGTCTCGTGCCCTCCCGCTCCCAGCCTCGGCCTCCCGAGGCTTGACCTGCCAGGAACGCGGGCCGTGGCCCCGCGCCCTCCCCTGCCCGCTCGGCGAGCCCCCCCCCCGCGAGGGCACAGAGGAGGAGGAGCCTGCTGCCTCCTCCCGCGCGGCTCGCGGGCCCCCGGCACGGCGAGGGGCGCTCCCCCCCTTTGGTTGGGGGTGCCGCCCCGCCTGGCGTTGCCCCCCGGCCTCAAGTCGGGCACGTCCCTCCGCAGGAGAAATCTTCGGAGATGGCCCGAAACGTCGGACAGGCCCGACCCAGCCCCAGCCCCCTTCACCTCTCCAGAGGTGGCCTGCCGCATCGTCCCCGTCGCGACCCCCGGCCAGGCCCCGGAGGCCCCCGACCGCTCGGTGGGACGCCGGGGGCCCCTTTGGGCCCCCCTCAGCTGACCACCCCCCCTCCGGTGCGGCTCGCGCTGGCGCCGCACGCCCCCGGCTGGCGGGGTGGGGCGTCGGTGTCGGGGCTTTCCTCCCGGGGCACCCGCGCTGCCGCCGCCTCCCTGCACTGCGTGCCCCGCGCTGCTGCGCGTGGAGCGTTGCCGCGCTGCCGCTACAGCTCGCCCTGCCGCACGGCTCCCCTCCCCACGGCCTCCAGGCACCTGGCGCCCCCTCTGTCCGTGCTTTCCGGGGCCGCCCCGCCCCCGCTTCGTCTCCAATGGTGTTTCCGCCATCTCCTTCACGTTCGTTTGGCGAAAGTGGTAGAGCCACCACGACCATGATCAGCATGAGGGGTAGCAGGAGGATTCGGCTGGAGTGAGGGATGGAGGCGGGATGGGTAGATGATGATGATGATGATGATGATGATGATGATGATGATGATGATGATGATGATGATGATGATGATGATGATGATGATGATGATGATGATGATGATGATGCTGCTGCTGATGATCATGATGCTGATGCTGGTGATGCTGATTATGATGATGGTGGTGGTGATGATGATGCTCTGCTGCTGATGATGATGCTGGTGATGATCATGCTGCTGCTGCTGAGGATGATGAGGATGAGGACGGTGATGCTACTGCTGCTGATGATGATGATGAAGGTGGTGGTGGAGATGATGATGCTGATGCTGAGGCTGATGCTGATGCTGATGATGATAACGAAGATGATGATGATGATGATGATGATGATGATGATGATGATGATGATGATGATGATGATGATGATGATGACGATGCTGATCATGATGCTGATGATGATGATGATGATGACTATGAAGATGCTGATGATGCTGATACTTCGGATTATATTGTTGCTGCTGCTGAAGATGATGAGAATGATGATGATGATGATGATGATGATGATGATGATGATGACGATGGTGATGCTTGAGATGATCATGATGACGACGATGATGAAGATGACGCGGTTGATGATGGATGATCATGCTGATGATGGTGGTCGTGATGGTGATTATGACGATGATGATGACGATGATGACGACAACCATGATGATCACGATGCTGATGATTATGGTGATGCTGATGATGATGATGCTGATAATGTCGATAATGGTGACCATGCTGCTGATGCGGCTGCTGCTGATGATGGTGGTGGTGGTGGTGATGATGGTAATGATGATGACGATGTCGATGCTGATGCTGATGATGATGATGATGATGTTGATGACGATGAATGATGATACTGATGATGATGATGCTGATGCTGATGGTGATGCTGATGATGATGATGGTGCTGAAGCTGTTGTTGATGATGACTCATGCTGATGATGATAATGATGGTAATAATGATGCTACTGATGATGATGACGATGATGATGCTGATGATGACGATACTGATTCTGAATCTGGTTCATGATGATGGTGGTGAGTTTGATGATGCTGATGATGATGATCATGGTGATGATTATGATGACGAGGATAATTCTGATGATGCTAATGGTGAAGATGATGCTGCTGAAGATGATGATAATGGCCATGATGATTCTGATGATGCTGATGGTGATGCTCATTATGATGATGTTGATGATGATGATGATGATGATGATGCTGATTCAGGTGCTGTCGATAATTGAGACCATGCTGATGATGCGACTGCTGCGGATGATGTTGGCGGTGGTGCTGATGATGATGATGCTGATGATGCTGCTGATGATGATAATGTCTCTGATGCTGCTGCTGATGATAATGATGATGATGATGATGACGATGATGATGATGATGCTGATGTTGCTGATGATGCTGCTGATGGTGATGATGGTTCTGATGATGCTGATGGTGATGATGACGATGATGCTGATGCTGATGCTGATGATGATGCTGATGATGATGATGATGATGATGATGATGATGATGATGATGATGATACTGATGATGATGATGATGATGATGATGATGATGATGATGATGATGATGATGATGATGATGATGATGAGGATGATGATGATGATGATGATGATGATGATGCTGCTGCTGATGATGATGATGATGATGATGATGATGATGATGATGATGATGATGATGATGCTGATGCTAAGTATGATGATGATTATATAGGCTTGCGCCACATCCGCCGACCCCTACATAAACTATTGCGCCTTCAGGGCTGCATTTCACGAGGCTAGAATCATGACAGGGCGCTCGACATCGTTTCTGTTGCTTCGTTGCTGTTGTCGTACCTCTTGGTGCTCTTTTGTGGCCTTTTGGTGGCACCTTGGCCTGTCTGCAGGCCATATCCGGCCGCCTCGAGGCATCTTGGGCCAAGTTTGTGGG